AGTAAAATGTTAACTTTAAGGTAGATTTTATTAAATCCATAAAATTATAAGGGTATTTTAGTAAATGACTATTTCTATTATTTATCTTTCGCTTAATAAATCCCATGCATCGCACGGGTCTCCGCTAGTAAAAATATTAAAAATTGTAAAAAAGTAAATATACATACATATTATTATCATTGTGATCATCATCATCTAAAATTGCCGCATATTTTACAAAATATGTGCACATTTGCTAGTTCTATGAAAAACAACAAAAGAAAAAAATATATGATCAGTGAGCCAAGCATGACTGCATGAACTTGCCACCTGACTGGACAAATCTCTTCTGAGCTTAGCGTGTTGGCAGCCTTGTAAATATATATAGGAATCTTATTGGGCCTTAAATCCAAATGGGTCAAGCTGAAACAGTGAAATTGTCTGTTGGTCAATCTATAAGCAATGTACACCCAACCAAATTAAAAAATCAAGTAAACTGCAAAAGAGGTCCAAGGTTCAAAATCCTATATAATCTATAGGTCAGAGTTCCCCCAGTAAGCTGTCATCAGTCACAGTATAGAGGTTGCTATTCTGCAGTTGGTCTCTCTAGGCTTATGCTCTGTTTCTTCTGGCTATCATGGTTGAGTATTTTGTAAAAGCCAGCCAGGGGAATCCAAAAGGGAGTTTCATTCAGCCTCGTTGGGGAGAGGAGATCAATTCCATGGTACAATCTCATAAATCCAATCATCAAACGAAACATCCTAGAAAACTCCACGAAACCGTGTCTTTCTGAGCTATAACATGGGCTAGTGGGCCACCTGTTAGCTTTTCTTGGGCAGAATATTTTCAACCTCACTGAGTATCAGAGAGTCTTCTTTGGTAAGAGTGCAAAGTAAATACTTTGATTCTTTCTGAGTAAAGCCCGTAAGCAATTTCATTCAACCAAAAGTTATGGAAGCAATTTTTTTCTTCCATTTTAAACGCAAAAATGTTAAAAATAAATAAATTTACTTTAATTTCGTATTTAGTACAAAAATGTATTTTAACAAAAAGCTCGCAAAATTGAACTGGAGTACAAATGTAGCCCTAAATAGGGGACTGGAGATGATAGAAGAGATCTATAAAATAAGTCAAATATAAAATGAAAAACAATGTATCTGAGACTTATATTTTGGGGTGTTAAAAACTTTTTTCTGGATTTGCATTTTCGGGCCTTAGTCTTTGTTCTGGAAAGAGCAAAAACATCTTTAGAGAGAGAGAGGAAATGTGAATTACTATTGTGCCCAGGCCTGGCTGACAAGTAGTCTATTGTTAAGGATAAAATCTATAAGCATGAGAATCAGTTTTATTTGAGGGTTCAATGTTGAACATCACTTTCCTTTTCTCCTTTTTTTATGATCCAATTTGGAGAAGTAATTAATTTACCAAATCTCCTAACATAATTCAGTAAATCGGCTTATGGGATTTTTTAAAGAATCAGGTGCCTATGATCAAGTTTTTTTCAAGCTTTTCAGGATTACTTGTGGGAGGACAACGATCATTTTTGGATTAAGGGTGCTAGCAGGATTCGAGCTTAGGGAATTGGGAGATGATTTCTGGAGACAATTTTGGTTCCTACAATCACTTTGTAATAGTGAATGTTAAAGCCATCTCACCAAACATTCAAAACTTTTCTTAAAAAAACGATTTAACCTAATTTAAAAGAAGGATCTAAAGCTTTTTCTATGGCTTCTAAGCATCAAATTTGTTTACTGATAATTAATGGATGAATTGATGCTGATCTCACCCTAGAAATAGTTAGTATTGGATAGGCTCTCTTAGGATTGTGTTTGGTACCATTGTTATTTTCAACTAAAATATTTTAGATTATGCAACCAAACATTTCTGTATTCATATAATCCAAGAAATAGACACCAAACATACTAATCCCTAAAAGATGTAGGGGTGGTCATGAAACGAACTTTTCACATTCTATTCAAATTTAGCTTGTAAAAAGTTGAATTTAGCTCAGTTTAAATCGAACTTTGAACCTAATGAATCTTGGCTCGTGAAACTCGTAAGCTAATTAAATTTATATTACATATGATTTTTTAATGTTTTATATGTAATTTTTTTTTTATAAGAAACTTGGCTCACTATGAACTCGAGCCAAATAGAACCCAACTCAAATAGTTAGTGATGAGGGAGGATTTTGACCTCCAGTGACATTGTGACACATGGCATCTCAGAACAACTAGGTGACACCCGGAATCACTCAGGCAACAACTTGCCAAGTTGATGGTGTCCAACCTGGTGGCCTGGCACATGCGCCGACCTAGCAATCTGCGAGACGTGCTCGTCGACAAATTCGGCATACATACCCCACGATCCTTGGGGGTTGGCCCTCGTTCCGAAAGATGGTCAATGCGCATGGAAGTTACCTTCGAGGATCTCAGACCGGTTAGACACGACCTCTCGGAGACCTTGGGCGGTATGTGAGCAAGGCCTATATAAAGGCACCATCCCCAATGATAGAGGGGGGAAGCGAGTAAGCAAGTAAACAAATTCTAGCTCTCATACTATGTGATTTTTAGCTCACAATCTACTATGAGAGTATTGACTTAAGCATCGGAGCGACCTCGCCGGGTTAACCACCCCGGGTCCTCTGACATTTTGGTTCCTTGCAGGTCTCCAAAGAGCAATGAACTTCATCAATTCAGCTCACCACCAGGTCAGCCCGGCACCTCACAGTCAGCTCGGCACCTCACAAGCAGCTCGGCACCTCACAGGCAGCTAGGCAGCCAAAGTTCTCCACTTCGGCCTAATTCATCGACCACTTGAAAGCAGACCGAATGACGAGATACTTAGCCCAAAAAATTGGCCATCAACCAAAAATCGATTCATCAGTTAGGAATTGCTTCCAAACCCAATCCTTTAAATTCTGATTGGAACCGCTCAACCTGTAAAATCTCAAATCTTCAGCTTGAAGTATATGATCAGAAATGTTGCACCAAACATTGTAATCTCTAGATGTTGTATTCCATTTCTCACGGTACACTTATTACATTGTTCAGGATTAAGCCATCGATGGTTAACAGAAGGCAGAAGGCTAGTTAAGCTATCCATGTCAACAAGTCGAATAAATCCAAAGTGCAGCTTAATTCCCCTTCATGAGAATATAATCCATGGTGGTAGATACTGAACCTCCGAGTAGAATCAAAATTTGTCTTCTTCTACTGATTAATGGAAAAAAGATGATCAGTTACTCTGTCTCAATCCCCTAAGCTTTTCAATTTTTCGTTAAAGAATACGTTTCAGTCTATGTCACTTGTTCTTGAAGCCACATCAACTTAAGGCCTTATTTAATTAACATGTCTCATTTCACCGCCCAATTTCCACACTAAGCTAAAATGATGGTTGATGACTAGAGGAGACCAAATGTAATCTGCAATTCAGATCTTACTTTAGAAAAACGATGAAGATACAAAGAAAAGAAAAAGAAGTTATACTCGAGAGATACGGGGGGGCTTCTATTTGTCAAAAGGTCCCACTTAAGAGAGAATCCCAGACTGAAGAAAAAATGTCATTTCATGATAAGCATCCATTTTGTTGGAGGGAGAGAGAGAGAAATTCCTTGCTTCCAATGGGGCCAAATGTTTTTCTGAAAGGGTATGAACTGACACAAGACCGTGTGAATTTGCAGTCTCAGACGAGTGAAAGTACCATTTTTTTTTTTTGTCATTGTTATGGGTGAACAGGATCACACTAATGAGATGGATAGCCCAACAATTCTTGAAGCCCAGTCCATAATCCTTATAGCGTCCAAAAACGCGTCACTAGACCTGGCAATTGGGCTAGCTCATTTTGGACCGGGTTGGTAAAAATTAGACCCCTAATCTTGACCACGAGTCAGATATATCAATGGTTCAGCCGTCTGGGTCAGTTGGTCTTTGACCAAATCAATGATCTTTACCAAAAATACAAACGATTGTCCTGGTCAATACTAGTTTGGAAGAATTAATTACTTTGAAAAAGGATGACCCAGGGGTGACCCGTGGCCCAACCCAACCTGAGCTGAATAGGCCCGGGTTTGTGGGTTGGGTCAACTTTTTGCCAAAGACTACGCGTCAGGACAGACTCTGGTTACGGCCGCTGAAGCCTGATGAGATGAATTCATTAAATAAACCAGGCAAATCATCTACTTCAACAGAGAGAGAGAAAGAGTCAAAGACTCAAAAGATAAGGACCCAGTCACCCAGCCCCAGCCCCAGGCTCGACCTCCCCTCCCCATATAATCACTGGTCACTAGTCACCATCAACCATAATGTGAGACCCCCCTTGGACTTGGCGAATACTGTGGCCCATGACGCTAAATCCAACCTGCCCATGTCACTCGCTTATTACCTCCCTGTCTGTCCACTGTCCAGTCCATATCCAAAAATGGGTGGTCTTTCCTTCAATATCTTTGAGTGTCTTGGGCTCTGCCCTCAGAACTCTGGTTTGGGAAATAGCAGTCTACGTTGAACGGTTGAACCCATTCAGTGGTGACTGGTGAGAATCCTAGAGAGAGAAGACAATGGATTCAGAGTTGTTGAGAGTTCAGAACCTCAGACCAGACGTGTGTGAAGGATCCTGTACCCCTGTGTCCTCGGCTTGGGCCATCCACGAGGAGCTGTACCCGAGAGGCCCACCAAACAAAGGCCCGTTGATAATGTACTTGATGGTTAAGGTCCAATCGTTGTCATAAGTCTTGTCATATTGGATTTTAACCTACTCATTAGCCTGTATGAACAAGACAAACAGGCTTCATTTTGTATATGGGCTCCAGAAAAATTTAAGTGGGCTCCTTGCAAGCCCAAATCCACCCACATAAACTAAAACTCTGCCTTAATCAAGGTGACAGCCACAAAAATCCATATCAGTGTTTTGGGCTTTTCTGTTTCTCCCTTGCCTTTAAGAGTTCAATCATGGTATTTTGGCTAATGAAGCAACTCTTCTCCATCATTCCCTCTCTCTCTCTCTCCCTTCTCCAACACTTAACCAACTAACACCAACACAACCACAACCCAACCCAAAACTTGGATTGGATGGTCTTTGGCTCTGGCCTTGCACTTAAAGAAACAAAAAGCTATATGAGCAATCATTGTGAAGAGGATGAGGTACAGCAGTGCGTAGGTTATTAAAACACACCCTCGTCCCCCCATTTCTTTTCAAAATTCAAACTCATTCACTTTCCAAAACATCGCCCAAGTCTTCTTCCCCTCTTTCCTCCCATCTCTGTGGCCTCTCTCTTTTTCTTTTGTTTTTTTGTCTTTTGATGCTCCTAACTAGTTCAAAGGTACGAGAGAGGGAGACTTGTTTGGAGCTGCTTTGAATGGAGCAGACGAACGGAGGAATCTTTGCTAGGTGAAAGATTTTAAGCTCAGGGCGGGGCTGAAGAGGAGGAGGAGGTAGTGGAGGTGGTGGTGGTGGAGGATCTGAAAATGAGTACGGCGAGATTCATCAAGTGCGTGACAGTGGGTGACGGAGCAGTGGGGAAGACATGCCTGCTCATCTCCTACACAAGCAACACTTTCCCCACGGTACAATTTATTAGTTCATGATGATGTGTTGTGTGTATGCATGGAAATTTTCATGTTTATGAAGAATTAATGATGGTAATTGTGATGATATCGGTTTTAGTGATCATGATCTAAGCTCTCTCTCTCTCTCTCTCTCTCTCTCTCTCTCTCTCTCTCCAGGATTACGTTCCGACAGTGTTTGACAACTTCAGCGCCAATGTTGTGGTGGACGGTAGTACTGTGAACCTTGGATTGTGGGATACTGCAGGTGAGTCTTCAGTTTTTTCGTTCGTGGGTTGATCTCTGTTTCCATGGAAAAAATCTTCTCAGCTAGAGCAATTGGCTTGGAATTTGATAACCATGTTTCTAGAACAGAAATAGAGCACCACTACCCATTTTCAGCTTTTGGGCTGTAAGGGGATTCTCTGGAAGAGGTGATTTAGGATTGCACCTTTACAATTCAATTTAAACAGAGCTTCATATAGTTGAAATCAAACAATCTCTGCGTGTTTTCCTGAGTTTCCTACAAACCCATTTACAACTATGATCGACTATTCTCCCAAAAAGTACTAGGAAATCAGTCATTGAAACTCTGATCAATTAGCTCATAATTACAGAATTGGAGTTTCTTCATTTAATAACCCTTTTCGGATCATCATACCTCTGTGGCAGCCACGGAAATACCAAGGGCAAAAACTAGTCCCCAACCTAGTTGTGAACATTATGTTTGAAAACTGACTCCTCTTTTTGTTGAGGCCTTGAGGGGGAACCGGTTCTTCTCACTTTTCAATGGTCAAGGCACTGAAAAGACTTGAAAGAATGAGAAAGATCCTTTCCTTTTTCTTTCTATATATCGTTGTAGTTAATTTAATTTTCTTTTGGTGGATGTCCGCAAGGTTCTTTTCATTGCTGAAGAGATTTGAGTCAATTTTTAGTTCATGTTTGAATTTATTACAGGGCAAGAGGATTACAATAGGTTAAGGCCTCTAAGTTACAGAGGTGCTGATGTGTTTTTATTAGCCTTCTCTCTTATCAGCAAGGCTAGCTATGAGAACGTCTCCAAGAAGGTTATTTTAATTGTTGTTCTTCCCTTTTTCTATAATTTTCTTGTCTGATGAACTGTTCTTGGCCGACCAACAGAATCTGACAGTCATCTGTATCTTGACTCACAGTGGATCCCAGAGCTGAGACACTATGCTCCCACAGTGCCAATTGTTCTGGTTGGGACCAAGCTTGGTAAGACCACTGAATTCAAGAAATAATAAAAGAATTATAATGGTGAAATGACCGTTTATCTTTTGATCAACTCCGCTTGTATGTCCCAACATCCAACATACTTCACGCAAAGTATTGCCATTAGGACCCACAGAAGTCATTTAGTCATTTCTCCATTCTGATTTGAAGTACAGTACTTGCAAGCATTCAATGGTGTCACTAATTATATGGATTCTCAACCACTGTTCAATGTTCATGCCGAATAATCCCAGCTCATTAATTCCAAAGTCTTTGGTAGTTCTTGGATCTTAATGTAAATCTAGTTTTAACCAAATACAGATTTACGAGAAGACAAGCAGTTTTTGATTGACCACCCTGGTGCAACACCAATCACAACTGCTCAGGGAGAGGAATTGAAGAAGGCAATTGGTGCAGCAGTTTATATCGAATGCAGCTCCAAGACCCAACAGGTTTTTATAGTTCCATATTCTGAAACTTGATTTCTTCCATACAAATTCGAGCCATCAGGCATCAGAATTGGGAATAATGACATAAAATACTTCTGGGCTAGCATCTGGATCAGAGTTTTGGGTGTCACTGTTCCTAATTTTCAAGTCCAAAGGCTAGCTTTCTGCAATCTAGCTAATCTAATTTTTTGAAACTGCTCAATGATCTATGACCCTTCTAATCAAAATATGAATTCTCACTCTATGCAGCATGAAATTATTTGGGCTGACTTCTTATGTTGATTCTGGTTTCTTAGAATGTGAAGACCGTGTTTGATGCTGCAATCAAGGTTGTTTTGCGCCCTCCGAAACCAAAGAAGAAACGCCACAAGCCAAAACCATGCGTGTTCCTCTAGATAAATTCCATAACGTCGGTCCTCCCTCTACTTGTTTCTCTTCTTTTATGTCTCTCCAGGGACTGCAAGAACACTAGAAGGAATGTTAGATATCTTGAAGTCTTCTGTTGCTAAGACTTCTAAGCATTTGCAGTATTAATATTCTGTTCTTGTTCTTCTCAGTGAACATATATCTTAAGGAAATTTGCTCATTTCTTGAAGAATATTATATATGGTCTCATGACTATCGCATTACTGAAACAAAATGTCATTCTAGAGGTGATAGAATCTTTGATGGTTACTTGATTTTAATGAATTTGCATTAAGCAAACGTGCTAATTTAGCCAGACCTTACTCTGTTATCTATCTCTGTATCTCGTATACTTGGGCAACGTTGAGTGTCTCTCATGGTTACCATTTTGCAATTCAAAATTTCACCAAATTGATTATTATATAAGAAGTATTTGGTGACTGCCGAAACTCTTTTCCTCTCTATATTTCTTACAACCAGTGCAACTTTCAGTCTTGGAGTAGAAATTACCTATATCTAAAGATTGGTCAGAGGGGTTCACCAAGGGCCTTTCTTTTATTCCTTTTTCTTACTGGCAACTGTTCTAATTTTCAGAAGGGTTTTGCAGTGACCAGCCATACCAATATTGGGTTCTTTAATTCTTTTCTAAAATATGCTCTTCATATTGTTTAATTCCAAGAAAAGCTAAGACTTGGTGCCTAATTCTGAATTTGTGCTTCTTCTTCTTCTTCTTCTTCTTCTTGTTTTTTTGATAATTAACAGATATTCATTGATTCTAAATCAAAACCTTTCAAAAACGCAACAAGGACAAGATACAAACAGCATATGGCTGACAAAACAAAACAAACAATTTACCTAAGAAACAGCTAGTTACATCTCAGTTCACAAACCCAAAAAGCCCCACTCTTAAGTCTTTTTTTTAAAGCACCATTCAAGGATCAAAATTTCGCAACCCGATTACCCGTCCCCTCTGAAATTTTGAGAAAAAAAAGCACCAAGTTCAAAGTACCGATACGTCGGTTCCCGTGTACTGGGGTGTATCAATATTTTGAACCTTGATCTGCCACCCGATTTTCACTTCTAGGAATTCAGTTGAACAAGCAGTTCATTTGTAATATAGAGCTATCAATGACCAAGGTCAACTCAACAGACCTGATCCAATCCAACCCTATTACATAGATCTGGTTCTTTATGTTAGTCCCAATTGTGAATAGAACAATATACACATGATAAAGATACCTGGTACCTCCCAACATTTTATATTTGTTTCTCATAATTTACCTATATAATTTCATAAACAAACACCTGAAATTATATATCCTTTTGTAATAGAAATACAAAGAAGAGCAAGAAAATTCATAGATTATTATAAAATTAGCAAGTTAAATACTGCAAAGGACTTTTGTGAAAATAATAAGAATGGAAAAATAGAATTTAAGGATGGTATGACAAAACAGGATTTATGTAGCCGAACCATAATGATTGCGTGATTCTTATTGGATTGGGATCAACCCACATCAGATCTGAACAAATCCAGCCTTGTAATAGTCTCATTACAGAAGGTGTATCTGCATATTTAGTCCCAATTATAACAGGGTCAAGATGTATTATTCTCCGTCTACTGTATAAATAAAATTTCTTACTTTTGCCAATACAATCAATAATAGTAATAATGGTACTTATAATAATAATAAGGGTCCATTCTTTTTTCAAATTAATGGGATTTTGGTTCCCATTGACCGAGATATATATGTTTTGTATTTATGTGGGGACCATGAAAAATTCATTTTTCCTGGGTTCCATGTAGGCAAATAACTTTCTCATATGAGGGGAGGTTGCTAACATTGAATGAGACAAAATTGCTCTTTTTAATAATGACTTTTTATGGCTAAAATGATCATTGTTATATTTACCTAGGAAATAAAAGAATATGGGTAAATGCACTTACCAAGATAAATAACTTCTCCAAAAATGAATAGGGCCTAAGTCAATAATAATAAGGGCAGCACTTGTATTGAGAATCATATCCCTTAGGGTGGAATTCTTTTGTATGGGATTGGATGAAGCATGTGTCAACGTTTAAGAGTAGTTTGTATTTGTGGCACAATGGTGGAGGCTGATGCCTTTGCTGCCACATTCTTGTTTTTAAATGCCATGTCAACATACTATTGCCAGTAACGGTAGAAAAAATGGGAAAACACCAAAAATGGTGTTTTCTCATACTACCTTTTCCCGATTTTCAAAGTGTGATTTGAAAAATGCTTTTCAAAAAGACGGCTAACTAAACAGTAATGTTTTCCCAAAAGACAGATTTCTGATATGGCCCTGTTTTATGAGGAAATGGCATTGATGCCAAACACCTACTAAAAAAATAACTCCTCGTAAGTACGGAGTGAGCAGCTACTGGCTCTCTTTATTTATTTATTTATTTTTGTCTTTGGCAACTGGCAAGTAGTGGTGATCATTTCTAGCCTGGCTTGAAGTTGGAAATCCTGGCCCATTCTACCTGCACAAGGTCTGGATATAAGATGGGCTATTGGGCCTGGACTCTCTTTATATCAAGTGCCAAAAGGCCCATGATCATCCCTAAAAGGTTTTAGTCTTTCTTTGATCTCTTATACTATTTCCTATTCTTTTCTTACTAAAAGTTCTGATCAGTTACCAAAAAGAGTTCAACTATGATATAAAAAAGATATGATATCCAAAAAATAACAAACCAATAAATTTGAATCATAAATCATGAATGAATTTTGATTGATCAAAACTCTTTCCATACTATATTTTTTCTGCATCATTAATTTTCACCTTCAATAGCTTCAAACTTCACATTACTTCTATTATATAAAACAACTTACTCAAATCAATATGATAAGCTGTGCCAAGTCGTCCGAGTCCCAACACATGGGCAATTCAATTAGTTTTGTAATCCATGGTTTTCCACATATCTGGTAAATTTTCCAATCTCATCTCATTCTCATGGAATATATGTCTCGGTAGGGCAAATATTTCTGATAACCTTTCATTACTATTCTCTCTCTCCCCCACCAGATGAATAAAATAAGTAGAGGTAGTTAATGATTTGATGAATGTAAACCTAATCTCCAATGTGTTCTACAATTTCCTAGAAAGGAAGTTTGCATGTTGGGAGGACATTGAGTTAAAATATTTTTATTGGGTTTACTTAGTATGATTTTCTAATTGATGATTTTGGACAAATAACAAGTTATACTTGTGATCTATTAATGGATTATAGTTTCACTTTCTATCAATAACCCATTGATCTTTTCTATTTGCCCAAATATTACAGTTCTTATTATTAACTCTAGAGTAATTTATATCCTAATTAATCAAATGTTATTTTAAATTTATAAATAAATGAAATTGTTATTATGTAATGCCAAGAATACTTTTCTTTGCAAAGTGAAAGAGGTGGAGTAAATTGCCAGTGGATGCAACAAGTTTCAACAAAGACATTCATGCTACTTTTATTTCTAAGAGAAAAAGAAGGAAAACACCCATTAAGGGGGATACATTTATACAAAGACCGGTAATCCATAAGAGCTGATTCAATGCGCCACAAAGGAAGAATAGAGCCAGCTGTTGTGAAATTGTTCTCTTCTTTTTATCTTTTAGGTATATGTTTGGTATCGATGATGCAGTTGCAGCATTGATTTCTGAGAAAATAGTGCTGCTGATGTGTGGGTTGGAAGTCTTTTTTCTGTTTGGAATTGTTGTGGTCAGGTAGCGTTTTCTGGAGCAACAACAACTTTTTCTGATTGGTACCAATGTTTCAGAAAACATTTTCTGCATTTCTACCCATTATCTAATGTCATATCACTGTCTTATTGGCAGCAATGAGCTACAGCTTCAAGAAATGCCAAATTTGGCATTGCTCTAAGCTATGCCTTCCTGATTTCCAAGGCATAGCTTGGAGCACCGTTTTCTATGGAAAAATAATTCCAAATAGATGGTAATTTCTTAGAGCACTGTTTTTTCCTATGTGGTGCTGATATGGTGCCGTTGGTCCAAAAAATGGCAACGATGCCATACAGCCACTAGGTTTTGGCCTGCAATAGTAAGCATTTGTTGGGAAAGGCATTTTGGTAAAAAAAATCCAATAAGTGCTTTTTCACTAAAATAAGACAATTTCAAAGAAGCAAAAAATTTTGACTTTTTTATAAACACTTATTACGTTTTCTATCTTGACCCATCACCTAATTACCAAAATACCTATACTACCCCCATTTGAAAGAAACACTTTTTCACCAAACACTCATAAGCTACTTCTTTTTACAACTAGCAAGCAACTTCATGCAAATACATGGGATTGAATGGAAGTTCGTATAGCAGGTTGGGGTTGGCAAAGTTAGGTTTTGACATCAGTTTGGTTCATGTTCTAAGGTTGGTCTAATGTTGGCTCTTAACACCATCCAATTCATCTAATTTATATTCATATTTTATTAGAGGGACAAAAGAGTTTGAAAGATCACTATAGGAAAATGGGGTTATAGCTACGGTACTTTAGCTATGGTCAAAAAAACCATAGCTAGAACATGGGATATAACCATAGACAATTTGATGTCCGTGACAAAAAGTTAAGCTATAGCTACAGTGGTTATAAGTTACAAAAGCAGAAGTCGAGCTTTAGCTACGGACAATTTGTCCATGGCAAAAAATTGAGCTTTAGCTACAGATAATTTGTCTGTGGTTAAAAGTTATTCTGTTCGTGGCTGAAAGATATTTATAGCCACCGTTATAATGTATCCGTAGCTATAAGTTACAAAAGAAAAAGTTGAGCTTTAGCTACAGACACTTTGTCTGTGGTTAAAAGTTATTCTGTCTGTGGCTAAAACATATTTAAAACCACGGTTATAATGTGTTCGTGGCTATAAGTTACAATAACAGAAGTTGAGCTTTAGCTACGGACAATTTATCAGTGATTAAAATTTATTTTGTCCGTGGCTAAAGAGCTATTTATCACTATAGCCACGAATAACTACAATTCCATGGTTATAATTACGAAGTTAATCATCTTTAGCTAAAATCATTTTATTCCTAACTCATAAATAATAATCATATAATATTCATTTTAAAATATTTATTATTTATTAATTACTTTTTAAAGTAAATCAATAATTAAGAATTTATTAAAGTAAATGAATATAATTAAAATTATTAGCTCATTACTATTGCATAACAATAATAATTAATGATTTCCATTTAATAATAATTAAACTAGAAAATAAATTAATAATAATTTCATAAGTATATTAATAAAAAGAAAATATTTTCTAAAATAGAAATTAATAAGTATTACTTATTATTTGGTTAATTAAAACTAATCATTAGAAATTAATTTAATTATTTAAGTAAATTAATAATTAATATAAAATAATAAACTAAATATGAAAACCACTAATAGTAAATTAATTAATTATCTACGAATGAAAATAATATTGACAATTCAACTAAATTATTCAAATTCATAAATAAATTATTAATATAGATAAATAATTATTAATTATTATTTTATTAATTAAATAATAACTAATAATTTATTTAATAAATTATTTCAACCACTACAATTTTTTGCCTCGAAGTGTAATTTTTAACTTTTTTTATTTGTGAAAGATGAAAAACTAAAATAAAATATAAATAAATCAATATATATATTTATGTATATTCTACATATTTCAAAACAACATTAATTATTCTCTATATAATAAAACATATAACACTAACCAATGTTTAGAAAATTGGACGAGACCAGCTAGTCAAGTTATTGCTAAACCATGATCCAACCCTTAACCAATTCAATCATACACCTAACCCTATTTACTCCAAAAAAAAGCCAAAATCATCCACCAAACTAGTCTAACCCAAGAACTAATGAATTGGTCTTGGGTAACTTTTTTGCTACCTATGTGTTTTAAAGTACTAAAGGCACCTTGGGTGATCATTTTAGTGAGTTAGAAAATTTCACTCTTGGACCTAGATTTTGTGTTTAAGCCCTGGCCAAGACTTAAGCCCTCATTAGAGCCCTAAATTTTAGGGTTGGGCATAGGCTTAAATATTTTAAACCTGCCTTAGGCTTAACTTGGCCCACAAGCAATGTAGCCCCTTGAAGCATATATATATATATATATATAATTGATTATCAAATTAAGTAATAATATTTTGTATTGTTATATATGTTATATATTTTATAGTTTATTATTAATCAATAATTATTGATTATTAATATACTATTAATTAATTAATATTAATAAATAGCATTGGTATCGTACCATTAATAAATATTTTATTATTTATTAATAAATATTAAGAAGTAAGTAATAAAAACACATGACTGACCGGTTCATATTTAAACCAGCCGAACCGTAACTCAATTTGGTCATACCCCTAAATAAAAACCCAAACACCGCCATAAGTCCAAATTAATTTCAAAAACTCAAACCTTCCCTCTCCCTCCCTATTTCAGCATTAGGGCATTAGCACGATCTAATCAAAGAACCACCCCCTCTTTCAACGGCCGAAGAACCATCCTACAACGTGGTAAGTCACCACCGATTATCGGTAATATCTCTCCCTCTCTCTATTCTTTGAATCGTGCCTCCCTCCCTCCCCCCCTCTTCGTCCTCCTCTACTGCCACTATTAAGTATTAAGCAGTTGTGTCGTTTGGTAAGAGCACTTGTGTCATCTAGAATGGTCAAAGGTGGGGAAAGGAGTAGAATTGGCAAGGATTAAAGTATCGATACGATATTTTTGATATGGGGTGTATCATATCTGTATCCATGATCATGGATACAGGATACACTACGATTGGATACGTATCTTATAAGTCGTGCGTATCGGTACGATATGCCTCCGTGTCATGTTATCCTCCCCTAGGATAACTTGGGGGATTGGCCCGACATGACCCATGTCCCAAGTCTATGTGGGCCCATGTCGTGGGTCGGGCTGGCCCGTCAACCAAGTCGAGCCGTGGACCGGGCCAAAGCTATTTATTTATAAAAATTGAAAAAACTTAAAATTTTAATTTTATATGAATTTTGATGTATACAATTGCTTATATATACAATAATTAAATAAATCAGTATAATAAAATTGAAAACAATTGTTTATTTTATTGATATATTATAAACTATATTATTATATAATTATAATTTAAATAATGTATTATATATAAATATATATAAATAATATATATGGGACGTATTAACATTCGGCACAACTCACTCGTTTGTACCATGATAACTCAGCCATAGACCTAAAACCCCAAACCCCACACGATTGTATCAAGCCTGGAATGGCCCACATGTATTTATGCCAGGCTGTGCGGGCTCGTCCATAGTCGGCACAACCTGATTTACACCTCTAAAGCCCAAATCGCATTTTAACTGCTACCCTCTTCACAAATATCAATGACCCATAAAAAACTGAAAACAAATTTAAAGTCCCGTGCGCGCCTTTATACCGTCTCTCCGAATACGAAAATACTGGAGAGTGGAGACTCATATTCTCTCTATTTCTCTCGCCGTCTTGAGGTCTCCTTCCTTTTTTTCCTATTCTCCATTTCTCGTCTCTACTTTTTTCTCCGTTTCCCTCTCTGAAACTCCAAGACGAACCAACTTGAAGAAGCCCTCCACCACTTTTTGTCTTTCTCTTGCTGCGAGTACTAGGTGAGAGTGGCCATGGAGCTGACGGAGGAGAATCTCATTTATTGAGATTGAAGACTTGGATGGCTGATTAGGAGAACCCATTTCCTGAGATTGATGAAATATTGGATGAGTTCAGGGTCTGCCATTTTTCGCGCCAGGAGCTTCCCGTTAGAATGGCAAGTGGAGAATTGTGTCTAGAATGCTCCATAGTACTCTGCAACAGTGGTATAGTTTTTTTTTTTACAATTATCTAAAATTTTTATGGGGGATTTTGGTGTATTCTTTTCGTTTATGGTGTAAAAATTGTGGAGAGGAGATTTGGGAGATGATGGGGCGATTTGTGTTCTGATACGAGTTGTCAGGAACTTCTTCCCCTCTTGGTAGATACTACAAGTGTTTGCAGAGGTTTCAAGGGATTTAAATGTAATAAGTACTTCAACTAGTAAATATTTGGACAAGCATCTATTTCCTTGTGCATGTGAAGTTTCGGAACATCTACAGGGGTATGATGAAAGAAGATAATATATGTTTGTTTGTTTTTTTTTCTATAATTTGATAACCATCCATTGTTCTAGTTCTACTATGTGGAATGCTATATCTCTTTTTGGAGTTTCATGGTCTTCTTTTTTGTTTCTTATTACTTCTCTTAGAATTAATTTTCTATTATGACTTATATGGAGCATCCTTCTGAAAGATCTCTCTAGCTAGATCAGTTTCCGCTTGGACTGTTCTCAATCAATTAATTGATAAGGAAACTATTGCTTCACTTAGATGGGTGATGGCTTTATTTCTTTAACGCACTTGTGTAATCTGAAAGACTCTTTTAAATTATTTGTTTGAAATTAGAGATGCAGAGTTCCAGATGGAGTGTGGGTTTTTTGTGTTTCTGTAATTCTGGAAAATTGTGTGCTTGTTAAGGTATTCATGCTTAGATCTCATTGAGCATATAGTTCCTAAAAAATGTTCTTTTCTGTAGGTTATTTTTTAATGCTTTTAAATTTAATTGTCATCTCTATGAAGCAAATCTTTTCATTGTTATAAATTCTGAAGAAAAAACTACTCACGAAATGAAACAAATCTTTTAATTGCACAAAATATGCTTTATTTACCTCTGATATAAAAGGCTGTTGGATTGGCCTGTTTGCATTACAGGAAGGAAAACCTCTTGTTCTGAATGTAGTTAGACGGTCTGAGCAGCTGCTAGTAAATGACTAGTAAGCTATTAAATCATAGTTTATGCTATTCCTTTCTTCATATATATTAGTGACTGAGTTCTAATTTTTGTGATGTTCAGGTCTCGTGCTAAGGAGTATCTTCCCATTACTGGATTAGCGGATTTCAATAAATTGAGTGCCAAACTAATTTTTGGTGCTGACAGGTACAAATTTAACATATTAGAGGTGCGTTCAAAACTATTGAGAGATTCGGCATGAATTCCATACTATGTTGAATATGGAATATGAAACCTTGCAATGTTTCTTTTACAGATCTCTGGATTCTCATGAAATGAAGGATTAAAGTTTAGACTGAGAACGAAAAATTCTTATTCTGAAAATAACTTGGTTAACCTTTTTAATTATGATGTAAAACTGTAGCTCATCCAAGAACAGAATCAGATTACCTATTTTCAATGTTGTGATGCAACAATTACCACTTAATAAAATTAAACTTCAATCTTTAGGTAGTGATATGATTTATTGTGACAAAATAGAAAACTTCAAGTCCTTCTATTTGATTGAAAGCTTTTCAATGATTGTCTTGTTAAAATGAACTTACGAATTACTTAAGAAGTGAGCAACTTTAAAAAGTCCATTTCTATAATGAAATTTCCTGTACTATGATAGACGTTTCATTACTTCTGATATGGAATTCTCTATTATTTACTTGTCTTTAGAAGAAAAAAAAACTTTTCTTGGATATTTTCACTGTTCAATCCTTTAATGTGGCTTAACTTGTTTCCCATGTAATATACTTTGCATTTTTTGGTAGTTTATATTTGTGGTTTTTACTGAATACAATATTCTGCTTGCTTTGAAAATAGCCCTGCTATTCAAGAAAACAGGGTAGCTACTGTCCAGTGCTTATCTGGTACTGGCTCTCTGAGGGTTGGAGCTGAGTTTCTGGCAAAACATTACCACCAAGTAAATAGCTAATCCTTTTTAGTTTGTTGCCTTTGTAAGATGATGATTTGAAGGATAATTTTGATTTCGCAATCCACCTTGCTTGCAGCATTTAGTATGCATTCCACAACCAACATAGGGAAACCTTGGAATGAACTTCCAAGGTTTGGATTCTTCTTCGTTTGTCTGTGTTTGATTAGCCATAATGGTATCTTAGCAGTTGGCATGGAATATGGATTAGTTTAGTTGAATAATCCATTTGTTTGAAAATTATTATTAAATAAAACATCTTATAGTTTTATATACAATGTAGTCTCATCTTCTTATCAACTATCGCCTATTTGTTATTTCTAGATTCATTTTATATTTGTTAGTTTTTCCATAATTTTCTTTTCCACTATGTGGCATTTTTTCTGGAGTTTGGTGGTTCCATCTGAACTTCTATGGAACTAATTTCATGTGCTGATATGTTTAAGTATATGGGAACAGGCCTGCTTGAGGACCTCAGTTCTGCCCCATCAGGAGCAATAGTGCTTCTTCGTGCATGTGCTCATAATCCAACTGGTGTTGATCCTACCGTTGAACAGTGGGAACAGATCAGGCATTTGATAAGATCAAAGGGGTTGTTACCTTTCTTTGACAGTGCATATCAGGTAAATGTGATTGCACCAAAGTACAAAGATTTTTCCCCCAACAATGATGCACTTTGTTGCAAGAAAAAAAGTAAATGAAAGCAAGGGAGGATTGTCATTGGAGGCAAAGGCCCCAACAAGGCACAAGCAGAAAAGTCTTCCAGAATTAAGGCTTTGTTTGGTTAAGCTTTTGCCTTTGGGCCGTAGGAAACAAAAATAAGCCAAAAACACTTTTAAAATTGCTTTTAAAAGTGAAGGCAAAGTTGCTTTTAAAACACAATAATCTAATGCCAAAACACTTTTAAACCCCAAAACACAAAGCTTTGGGGCTCAGATTTGAAAGCACAAATCTTGAAGCTTATCCAAATGCAACCTTAACTAATGCAGATATGTTGCCACCAGCCCACTTTAACTAGCACATGATGTGTTAAACAAAAGAAATCATCATGTTGATCCAACCAGCAATAAGAATGCTACTTTTTTTGTACTATGAATTTTATCTTCCATTTTGTACTATGATTTATATTAAATATTCTAACCTAGTATCTTGCTTCCAGCCAGCCTATTGAAGAAAGTGGTTCTATGCTGATTTCTTTTTTTTTCTTTGATATCTTCTGAAGGACTACACAACTGGGGGGGGAGATTTATCTTCCATTAGACTCTTGAACTTGTCATTGAACTTGATTTGGGATGATTTCTGATCAGGGAGGGGAAAATTTGTTTCTACCTCTTTATTTGTGGTACTTGACTCACATAGATGTGCATGGGGATTGATAATTCTGAATTTCTGGAAGGTTTGCCTATATGGACTACAGAATTCCTCCTTCCCCTGCAGCAGAGTTAGAGCAGATTCATAAACACTTCTTCTATTCTTATCTTGTTGCATAATACTTGATTAATATGCACTTATTAACTGGCCCTCTCTTAGCCCTCTCTTATTACCTGCCAAGGTGATCATGATGAAAAAGTTTCTTCTGTTATTTATCTGTTTGTCGGCTCTGACATATGCCATAACACTCCATTCTTCTTCTAATGGGTTAGTGAGAATTGGTTTAAAAAAGAAGCAACTAGATCCTACTAGTATAAATGCTGCAAGACATGCAAAGAAACTAGGCAAGTATGCAGATGGTCTTGGGAACCTCCCTTGCAATCTGGATAGTTCTGATGTAGATATAGTATCATTGAAGAACTATACGGATGCCCAATACTTTGGAGAGATTGGTATTGGTTCGCCACCACAGAACTTCACTGTCATATTTGATACTGGAAGTTCCAACCTCTGGGGCCCATCAGCAAAGTGCTACTTTTCTGTACATTTTCTGTACAAATGTCTTCATCTTCTGTAATCGTCTTCAGGGATTTTCTTTTACGATTAATATTTTTTCTATGCAGATTTCTTGCTATTTCCATTCCAAGTTAAAGGCAGACCTATCAAGTACATATATAAAGATTGGTAACCTTTCCATGGAAACATCCTTTAGTCATTCATGATCTCTAGACATCTTGAGTTATAAGGTTGTCAGTATAATAAAGATTATAAATATTCTATCAAGAAAATCTGCACTAAAATTGCTATGAATTTTGACCAGGAAATTCTTGTAATATTCATTATGGATCTTGATCAATTTCTGGCTTCTTTGGTCAAGATAACATTCAAGTTGGGAATCTTGTTATTAAGGATCAAGTGGGTTCTTTTTTCAGTCTTAACTTCAAATATGTCCCCTGTAATTTGGCTGTATTGAGTGGTCATGGATGTATTGCAACAATATTGCAGGTTTTCATAGAGGCCACATGAGAAGTCTCTCTTTCTTATTAGCGAAGTTTGATGGCATACTTGGTCTTGGGATTCAAGAAATTTCTGTTGGCAATGTTGTGCCCTTCTTGTAAGACATTTTTTACATGTTGATTAGATTTTCAAAATTTATCTTGCATTAAACAAAATACTAGTGGATTTTTTACCTATCTTTTTTCACATTTTTTCATTGCATATTACATATTTGATTAGATCATCAAAGTAATCATTGTTCTATTTTTTTTTTTGTTTTTCTATGTAGGTTAAAAGATGCAACGAGTGATTCTTAAAGCATAGTTGAAGACAATGGATAATTCTTTTATATTTAAAATTTCTCTATTTTTTTGAAAGTCATATAGACTTTAATATGTATTGAGGGAAATTTAACATTTGTAATGCATTTTAAACAATGGATGTATTTTTTTGGTAGAACAATTGATGTATTCAAATTATGTGGCATGTATTGAATTATGACAATAATATAAGTATTTGTTAGAAGTTATTATATAATTTTCATGTGATGTATGAATAAAATAGGTGTTGCTTTAAGGTGGCATTCTTAATTGTCATTATTTTACTATTTTATTTGGAATATAGCCATAATATTTCCACAGATTGAAACAATTAGCTATGGTTTTCTAAGAAATTCTGGGCATATATTGCATCTTTTAGCCACAGTTTGTCAAAAAACCGTAGCTATAGGTCAGAGTATTAAACTTCAGTTTTATCAAAAAAAACTGTGGTTATAGGTTAGTACATTTAGCTATGGATTTGTAGCAAACCGTAGCTATAAATAGAAGAATTATAATTATGGTTTTGTAAAAATCTGTGGTTATAGATTTGGATATATAACTACAGATAATATAAAAATCGTAGCTATATGCATCTTTTAGCTACAGTTTAGTCCATGGCTAAAGATTCATATGGTATGTGTTTGCCCTTTAGCACGGACAGATAGTGTAATTATAGATAGATTATAGCTACGGATTAATCGAACCGTAGCCATAAGCTATAGCCCCGCGAACATAGGCTACGATTTTTTATCCATAGCTACGGTTTTATTGACATTTAGCCATGGTTTTGTCCGTAGTTAAATGTCATATTTCTTGTAGTGGATATTTATTAAGAGAGAAGAAATATTACAAACATTGACTATCGAAAAAAAAGGGGAGAGAATTAATAACAATTTTAATAAAGAAGAGTAATTATAGATTTTAATAGAAAAAAATTAAGACATGAGGATTTTTAATATTTCACATGCCCTATCACAGGATTGAAAAGTTCAAAACTCTTTTTTTTCTTATCTTTTTCTAATTGATATTTTCACTTGGCATGTTAGGAGGGGCTCCTGTGCACCCAAGGCTCAAAGTAAGATAACGAGAGTTTCGATCAAATGAAATTCCCTTTTTATATTTTATTTTTTTCCTAATAACCTCTTGTCAGTTGACATGACAGGTTATAAGCTATTATGTGAAACAGCCAAAATCATTAACTCTTAATATTAAGTCTATATTATTTATGATACAATATACTCCTATACGTTTTGATATTTTGAACGTTGTACTAAAACATGCATTTGTTGTTTGGTTTTGTGTATTATTTGGCCGATTTTTATTTTTAATTTTTTGTTTATTTTTTTTTTAGAACGGGTTGTCTTTTTGGTTCGAACAGTTAGACCAATTGACCCGGGAACCGGATTCTTGACCGATTCATTGTATAGTTCGGTTTTAAAAATCTTGTATTAGAAAATCGACCAACTTAGGTCAAGTTTGATCATATTGATTATTAAAAAGTTAAAATATAAAACAATTATATATTCGTGCATTTCTATTGTTTAGATTTCTCTTAACAAAGTTCATGCATCACACAATTCCCCGCTAGTACTAAATAAATGGATACAATACCAAACAACCAAGGTTTTCAAAACCATACTAGACCGGGAAAATCAGGAACCGATTAGGTAACCAGTTGTGTTTCACCCTAAAACTGCTTTTTGTCCAAAAACCATTGATTTGATCAACGACCTACTGACCCAGGCAGTCGAACCATCGATTTGAATAATGGATTTTGGCCATTTTTATTTTTTATTTTTAAATCAAAACAGGTCATCCATTTAAACTGGACGATCGGACCATTCTACCCGGGAACCAGTCCCTAAAACAGTTACTTGTCTAGTCCAGTTTTAAAAAGCTAGCAAACAACCTCTTAGTGAATGCTATTAGTATATTCCTTGGTAGACACATATTACCCATTCATGTGTAAGTGCAATAGTTATCTAATTTATCTTCATAGAATACCATCTTAAAGAGAAGCTAATTGCACAAACTTCTTTTATCATTCTAATTAACAAGTCCTTAAATAATATTTCTCGAACTGAGTTAGATTTGTTCGGTATAATTCGATGGTGATGTTGTGGCTTGCCCTCTCAGGGATCTTATATGCAGGGATTAAAATGGGTTTATCAACCAAAACATGCTTGAGAAAGTATATACCATGTTTGGTTCAATTTTCATTCTTTTTCATTCTTACTTAAAATAAAATTCTAAAAAGGATAAGAATGAGTGAAAATGGGCAGAATAAAAAAATATTACTATAAACCAAACATTTTTTATTATAATAAAGACATGGGATTCAATCTTGCCATCAGCAAGGCAATATATATTGATACATATGATGCCACTATATGGTATAATATGTACTAGTTTTGAGGGTCATCAATATGCCAAATTTGGAGAGTGAACTGAAGTGATTTCAACCATCCTTGTCAATAGGTGATGTGACTTCTCCACTGACAAATTGCCACCCCAATAAATAAATGAATAAATAAAAAGTTTTAATGGTATTGAAGCTGCCTCCACTTGGGTTGATGAGTTATGAATTTAGAGAAGGGTTGAATCCCGTTGATTTTTTTCTTTTTTTTTTTTTTTGTAAAAAACCCGTATGCAATAACATTCATTACACCGAATCAACTGTTAGTACAGGCAAAAGAAAATCTGGAGAGATGGACCAAGTTTGAATCCTAGACAAAGTACAACCAAATTTTGCCCTAGTGTGAGTAACATTATTGCTTGTACGAGGGGTGAAGTATATACGAACTTGCTGAAATCCACACAAAAGGCTCCTACGATTGGCTATGACTATATGAAGCCGTCATGGGACCTCGGACTAAGAATCTAACATGATGTTAGTAATCTTCTACTCATCCCCTTCAAGAACAATGTGTATGAGAGATAAACCAACAAATCCAAATGGGTTCGAACAACAATACCAATTCGAAAACATAGAGGGCCTATTGCCCCATCGATGAAAAATAATAGAACACGTTTGTGGGAAAAAAATCAGAAACATCTCCCTATAAATTTAACACATATATAAAACACGTGTGGATGGATGCTGGTGTTTGAGGGAGCATGCAGAGTTTTGTGGGAAGGGAATCCGGACCCATCCATCTGCTTTGAATTCCTATATGCTCCTACTTCGGAAAAATCTTTACTCCATAATTCTTAGTTTTTCATATATCGCCTATGTCAAAAATCTAGACTCACTAATGAATAAATCTGTTTATGGAGTGGGTTCAGATTCAGCTTTTGCCAAAAATTGAATAAATATAGCCCCGAGCCCAAGCTCAAAGCAGTGTAAAATATTCAAGGATCAAGCCAGAAGCCCAGCCCATAAACAGGTATTAGTGGAGATCAAAGTTCAAAGATCCATGTACTCCCTAGTTTGTAGTATTTAATGTAGCATCTCCTATGTTGATATGATACAGTATGATATATATCATTAATTTGAACCTGTCTTGACAGCATCATCAGGAGTTCACATCTGCACCCTACAGAGGGTGCCCCACAAATGCTCATAGCACATCCCAATCGTGTATTAGAAATATCTCCCATACTTTTCATTGCGGGATGCTCTCAATACATGGTTGGAATGTGATGTATACTTTCCATTGAGAGATCCTCCCAATACACGATTGGGATGTACTATAGAACACTTGTGGGCGCCCTTCCATCGTCACATGTCAAGATTTAGGGCTGATCATTTGCTCAAAATTAACCACATAAATCATAATTTGAATAATCGATGGCCCAAATGGATGTTTTATAACACAAGCTGTATGATATATCCAGGGGCGTAAATCATTTTAATTCAAAAGCAGCATTATAATTCATGGTCAGACTATCCGGATCGTTGGCTGAATAGCTGATTGTACGTATAAGAGGAATCCATAAAACACTAATCCTAGTTGGATTCGGGTTTGGATATCTACATAAATTCGGATTGGCTTATAAATCAAATGGATCCGTGGGCATCCTATTTAATGTTTGGACATCACGACTCGGGGTTCGACTTTATTATTGTCTTCCGTCTCACCACAAAGTCCGTAATTTCATTAAAAATAAAAGGAGAAAATGGGTGATGTTTATCAAAAATTAAAAAACAAAAAAATCGGATTCGGATCAAACTGGTCGATCACTTGATCCATTACCCAATAAAAATTCTCATTTTTATGCATTGATTTTGAAATTTTGAGGAACTAGTACAACCGCGCTGCATTAACCCAGACGATTTATAGAAAATCAGATAACTTTTATTCTAACCAAAGTTGACGAAACAGAAGCAAGAGGTCCAGCATCAAAAGTTATAATTTAATTTCTATTAAAATTATGTAAAATATAATACGTATTTATATTAAATTATTAATAATGGGATCGCGGGTAATTGGGTCAATTCAGTAAGGACTGTTGAACCCGTGACCCAGTCATCAAAGCGGTTCTACTTTTCCGAGTCTGACAACATGGCAAAAAGCTAACAAGCATGTGAGTGCACAGCAAAGGTCTAAAAGAGCAGTCGGGATCAGGTAGGCACACACTATGAATACATGTAATAAGTATTTGAGACAATTTTAGTACCCGGTATTTTGTGCTATTGCCACTTTAGTCTTCTATTTTTAAAATACGATAATTCAATATTGTAACTTTTAAAACCTGATAATTTAGTATCTTCTGTTAATTAGTTATTAATTAGTCGTTAAATGGCATTTGAAAGATATAAATGCATTTTAAGTGTTATTTAATTTTCTTTATCAATCATCTAAATATTGATAAAAAATTTACAATCGCAAATTTTTGTTTTTTCCATTCAAGAAAATTGGGGTCATGTTTGAATGGGCATTCTAGTGACCCCAACTTTCTTGAATAGAAGAGGCAAGGATTTTGGTCTGTTATTTTTTTTTTTTTTTTTTGTCAATGTTTGGATGGTTGATAAAGAAAATTAGATGACACTTGAAGGGCATTTGTGTCTTTTTCAAATACCACTTAACGACTGGTTAGCAACTAGTTAATAGTAGGTTATGGATTATCACGTTTTAAAAGTTCGGGTACTGAATTGTTGCATTTTAAAGTTTGGGGACCAAAGATACTAATCGGGAATTTTCTGTACTTAGAAGCTTATTTTACC